GGAATATCAGGGAAAACGAATGAGGCATGCAACTTTGAGCATCCCAAAAATTGCCGTGACCTCCTGTCTAAGGGAGTGTGTCATTCTACCGCTTGCAAATACTTCCACCCGGAGATGTGTCAGTCTTCAGTCCTTGAAAAACAATGTTACAATACCAATTGCACTGCATATCATCAAAAAGGGACCAGGAGGCACACACCCCATACAACACATCATAGTAACTATGGTAGCTATGACAACACCCAAAGTGACTTTTTAGGGGTAGGAAACGAAGAAAGAAAATGGAAAGAGATAACCAAAATAGTCCACCACCTTGGAGCCTTGTTGGACTGGAGGCACAGCCAGTGGTGCCTCCGGACTCACAGCTACTGATGCCAACAACAAAATCCCCCAACAAACATGCATATACAAACATGCATATACAAATATGCATATACAAACATGCTAATGTACAGGACCTTAAGCCATCCACAAACAACAAAATACCTTTCATTAGTGGACTTCTAAAGGAGTCAAATTCACTGTTTGCAGCCTTCACAGAGACCCACGCAAAAGATTACTTTGACAGTGAAATATGGATACAACCTTTTCAGATGCGACAGAAAGAACAGGCAACAAGGGTGGGTTGGCCTGTATGTCAAAGAGTCGCTCATTTGCACAGAGATACTGAACACCACAAATGATGTAGTTGAAGTTCTGACAATAAAAATCGAGAACCAAAACTTAGTCATTGTACTTGTATATAAGCCACCGGATGCAACTTCCCAACAGTTCAAAGAACAACTGTCAAAAATCGACTCCTGTCTGGACAACTTTCCAGCACCATCCCCAAACATCTTGCTGCTTGGTGACTTCAATCTAAGACACACAAAATGGAAGAATATAGCAAATAATGTCGTAGCAGAAATAATCTCTGGAGGTAGCTCAGATGAAAGGTCACACATGCAGGAGCTGCTGAATTTCTGCAACAAACACACCCTAAGTCAGCAGATAGTGGAGCCAACAAGACTGGAGAACACACTGGACCTTATTTTCACAAATAATGAGGACCTGGTAAGGAATATAACAATATCAAAAACAACAAATTCTGATCACAATCTAATCGAAGCCCAGACTTGCATGCACAGGAGTCCTGATCAGCACGATGCATTCAGTTATGAGGGTACCTTTACCAAATTCAACTTCAACAACAAGAACATCATCTGGGATCAGGTAAACTATGCCCTAAATGAAACATGCTGGGAGGATATCTTAAATTACACGGACCCGAACCAATGCCTCGAAAAGATCACCCTCCTGGTAGCTGAAGTATGTTCAAGATATATTCCTATAAGACAAAAGAAAAGAAGAAGTAAACTGGAGAGAGAGAGACGCTCCCTCTACAGAAGAAGACGAAGAATCACTGAGCTCCTCAAGAATGCCAGATTATCTGATACACGGAAGGTAGTGCTAACCAGGGAAGTGGAAAATATTGAGCTGAAGTTAAAGGACTCATACAGGATCCAGGAGAGACAAGAGGAGCTAAAAGCGATTAATGAAATTGAAAGAAATTCGAAATATTTCTTTTCATACGCCAAAAACAAGTCAAAAACCACTTCTAGTATAGGGCCCCTGCTCAGACAAGATGGATCCTACACTGACGACAACAAAGAAATGAGCGAGATACTGAAATTGCAGTATGACTCAGTGTTCAATGAGCCACTAACCAGCTTAAAGATAGATGATCCAAACAATTTTTTCATGAATGAGCCTCAAAACCCTGCCAATGTAGGCCAGATTTATGACAAAGCTCTAACTCCACTAGACTTTGAGAAAGCCATCGACGACATGCCCATGCACTAAGCCCCAAGCCCAGACTCGTGGAACTCGGTGTTCATTAAAAACTGCAAGAAACCCCTCTCACGGGCCCTAAGTATGCTATGGAGAAGGAGCTTAGACACAGGCGAGATTCCACAGTCACTAAAAACAACAGATATAGCCCCACTCCATAAAGGTGGCAGCAAAGCAGTAGCTAAGAACTATAGACCAATAGCTTTAACGTCCCACATCATAAAAATCTTTGAAAGAGTTCTAAGAAGCAGGATAGCAAACCACCTGGACCCCCAAAAAAATTGCACAACCAGGGCAACATGGTTTCAGAGCAGGTCGCTCCTGCCTTTCGCAACTGCTTGACCACTATGATATGGTCCTAGATGCACTGGAAAACAAACAGAATGCGGATGTAGTATACACAGACTTTGCAAAAGCCTTTGACAAGTGCGACCATGGTGTAATAGCACACAAAATACGTGCTAAAGGGATAACCGGCAAAGTAGGCAGATGGATCTTCAACTTTCTAACCAATCGCACACAAAGAGTAGTGGTAAACAGAGTTAAATCAGATGCTGCCATAGTGAAGAGCTCTGTCCCACAAGGCACAGTACTCGCACCTATCCTGTTCCTTATTCTCATATCAGACATAGACAGAGATGTAAACCACAGCACTCTATCATCTTTTGCAGACGATGCTAGGATCTGCATGAGAGTGTCATCCATTGAGGACACTGTTAACCTCCAAGAAGATATAAACCAAGCTTTCCAATGGGCAACAGAGAACAATATGATGTTCAATGAAGACAAATTCCAACTACTCCGTTATGGAAAACTGGAGGAAATAATAACTAGAACTGAGTATACTACAAACTCCAATCACACAATAGAGAGGAAAAGTAATGTGAGAGACCTGGGAGTGGTAATGTCAGAGGATCTCACCTTCAAGGATCACAACAATGCCACTATCACAGCTGCTAGGAAACTGATAGGATGGATAATGAGAACATTCAAGACAAGAGATGCTAAGCCAATGATGATCCTTTTTAAATCACTTATTCTTTCTAGGCTGGAATGCTGCTGTACATTAACATCCCCATTCAAGGCAGGTGAAATTGCAGAGCTAGAGAATGTACAGAGAACATTTACTGCACGTATAAGTTCCATCAAACACCTTAACTACTGGGAGCGCCTGGAAGCACTTGACTTGTACTCACTGGAGCGCAGGCGAGAGAGATATATCATAATCTACACCTGGAAGATTCTGGAGGGACTGGTCCCTAATATGCACACAGAAATCACTCCATACAAAAGCAAAAGACTTGGTAGGCGATGCAACATACCCCCAGTGAAAAGTAGGGGCGTCACTGGTACACTAAGAGAAAACACAATAAGTGTCCGGGGCCCAAGACTGTTCAACAGCCTCCCACCAGCAATAAGGGGCATTACGGGAAGACCCCTGGTTGTCTTCAAGAGGTAGCTGGACAGATACCTAAAGACGGTGCCGGATCAGCCGGGCTGTGGTTCGTACGTTGGATTACGTGCGGCCAGCAGTAACAGCCTCATTGATCAGGCCCTGATCCACCGGGAGGCCTGGTCGTGGACCGGGCCGCGGGGACGTTGACCCCCGGAATTCCCTCCAGGTAGACTCCAGGTAGACCACCCCCATCCTTCCCCTCACCTCTGCACCCCTCTCTTCCCCTCGTCATAGACCATTCAATTTCCTGCACCAACTCAGCATCAGCAGCTGCCGTACTGACATCTGTCATCAGCTGCCGTACTGACATCTGTCATCAGCTGCTCTCCTCTTCCTCCTCTTGTTTCCTCTCTATCCATTCTGTCCCTCTCTATCTTTTGCCTCCCCTCCACATTCTCTTTCACCATCCCTCCTCATTCGTCTGTTTCCCGTTGTTCTAACTCTAATCTGCTGTTTCCGGGTCACCTTCCTGTTGACATGATCTGTTAGAGTGAGGCGCCCTTCCCTGACGTCATAGCTCCCTGTTGTGTTTTCTGTTTCCTGTTTTGATGAAGCCTTGTGTGCTCCACTGTTGTTGCTGTTTCCACTACTTTTCCTTCTGTCGTTGCTGTTTCTACTGTTGTTGCTGCTGTTTCTACTACTGTTTTTACTGTTTCTATTACTGTTGATGCTGTTTATACTACTATTGCTGCTGTTTCTACTACTGTTGCGGATGTTTCTTCTACCGTTGCTGCTGTTTCTACTATTTTTTGCTGTTGTTTCTACTACTGTTGCTGCTGTTTCTTTTACCGTTGCTGCTGTTTCTACTGTTGCTGTTGTTTCTACTGCTATTGCTGCTGTTTCTTTACGTTGCTGCTGTTTCTACTATGTTGTTTATGTTTCTATTACTGTTGTTACTGTTTCTACTATGTTCTGTGTTTCTTCTACCGTTGCTGTTTTTACTACCATTGCTGTTGTTTCTACTACTGTTGCTGCTGTTTCTTCTACCGTTGCTGCTGTTTCTACTGCTGTTGTTTATGTTTCTATTACTGTTGTTACTGTTTCTACTACTGTTGCTGCTGTTTCTTCTTCCGTTGCTGTTTTTACTACCATTGCTGTTGTTTCTACTACTGTTGCTGCTGTTCTACCGTTGCTGCTGTTTTTACTACCATTGCTGTTGTTTCTACTACTGTTGCTGTTGTTTCTTCTACTGTTGCTTCTTTTGCTGTTTCTTATGTCTATCCCGTTCCCCTCTCACCAGCATAGTTTAACTGTGTCCACGGCTGCTCTCTCTCTCTCTCTCTCTCTCTCTCTCTCTCTCTCTCTCTCTCTCTCTCTCTCTCTCTCTCTCTCTCTCTCTCTCTCTCTCTCTCTCTCTCTCTCTCTTTCTCAGTATATGTCTTCTTTCTCATTGTAAAAGTATGGTTGACGTTATCATGTCTTAGTTTTCGTCTTTGCAACAGACATCTGTCTGCCTGTATGAACACACTTCACTTGTCTTGCAATCCACTGACTTACTGTTAATGTTGAAATATGCACTGTTCTGACCCCCTCTGCTCAACCCTGACCATCCTTGACATCCCCTCCCACTGACCAATTCTGACTCATTCTGACCAACATTGACCTGCCCTGACCATCCCCGACCAACACTGGCCTACCGTGCCACACTCTTGCCGTGCCCCTCGCACGTCTCTTGGTGTATACCGTAGCGGTGATGCTGGTGGTCCTCCCACAGTGCGGCCGCACCGCTCTCCACTGGTCGTGTTCCCGGCGCCAGCCTGACTCCGTGGCAGCTCTGCTCCTCAACGGTGCCAAGGTCAACCTCCCAGATAGTGTAAGTAGTACTGAGGATAACCAGTGCCTCTCTCTCAAGGTCAACCTTCCGGATAGTATAAGTAGTACTCAGGGCATATAGTGCCGTTCTCTCTTAAAGTCAACCTCGCAGACAGTGCCAGTTCTCCTAGGGTCAGTCAGTGCCTTTTTGCTTGTCATAATACCTGCGGCATTATGGAACCATCTTAATTAAGGTCAAAACTTTCTCTAGCTTGTGTTCCTATACTCTAACACGGACCAAGGACCGCTTCAGCACGGACCACGACCTCTTCAGAAAGTATTACTTTCTTCAATTTGAATTAATGTTCTTGTTACTGATTACTTTATAGAGACATCTGAAATTTTTATTTGAGTGAAGAGATGATGAATAATGACTTCACGGTGATGAGGTTTTCAGGTGAGTTATTAAGAGCGTCATTATCTTGCTACCGGTGACCACAGCTGCGCTTCACCTGTAATCCACTTTGTAATCATTCACAGCTGCAATAATTCACTCGACTCCTGCGACCATTAATATACGGTTCCATTGATTATTAGCCTCCAGAAATTGATCATATCTACTCTTGAAGCTGTGTAGTGTTTGTCTTCACCGCCTCTTCGTGTTTTAAAGCTTTCTACTTGCTCACTACCCTAAGATTGACAAAAATTATACCTGATTCAAACTCAGATTGAGATGGCAGTGATGGAGAGACGTGGTAAACAGAAGTTGAAGAATGACAAGAGTGTTGCTTTCTCAGCCTCTAGGCAAATAATATACTGAGTAACTGGAACCTTTAAAAACAAGAGATGGCAGGTCAGTGCTGATACCTTTGAGAGTCGCTGGTTCTCTCTAAATTATAATACTAATAATATAATATCATTATTTCTACAAGTACGTGTACAAGGTATACAGTCCTAGCTGACATCAGTGACATATTACTATATAGAAAGCCGTTTGTTATGCTGAGCATTTCGGACAAATTAGGTCAGTTTTGTCCCAGGATGCGACCCACACCAGTCCACTAACACCCAGGTACCCATTTTACTGATGGGGAACATAGACAACCGGTGTAAGGAAACACGCCCAGTGTTTCCACCCTTTGCCGGGAATCGAACCCGGACATTCACCGTGTGAAGTGAGAGCTTTTGCCACTAGGCCACGGGCCACCGTATATTAACAACCTCCTTAGAATACTAGAAGTCCCAAGAGCTGTGCCCCTTGCAACGTAAGGGTGTCCCTTAGCTTGAGTGCTAGCGCACTTAGCTTACACACAGGTCCGGGGGTCGATCCCGGTGTGGGTGGAAACATTAGCACGTTTTTCCCTTTAAAAGACACCTGCTGTCCATGTCGAAGGCCGGTCCTGGGACCGGCCCTCTCCATTGAGTATTTTGTATGTTTTGACCATAGGTCCCTGTGAACTTGTAATGAACACTGATGTGAACATTTGTGAAACCACATTTGAACATTGTGTGAACACCACTGTGAACATTATGTGAACACCACTGTGAACATTATGTGAACACTACTGTAAACACTGTGTGAGTACATTTGTGAACATTATGTGAACACCATTGTAAAACATGTGTGAACACACTGTGAACTTTGTGTGAACACGACTGTGAACGTTGTGTGAACACCACTGGGGAACACTGTGTGAACACCATGCGAACTTTGTGTGAACACCACTGTGAACATTGTGTGAATACCACTGTGAACATTGTGTGAACCCCACTGTTGAACATTGTGTGAATACCACTGTGAACATTTTTGTGGACACCACTGTGAACATTGTGTGAACACCCACTGTGAACATTGTGTGAATACCACTGTGAACTTTGTGTGAACACCAATATGAACATTGTGTAAACACAACTCTGAACATTGTGTGAAACCACTGTGAACATTGTGTGAACGTGACTTTGAACATTGTAAACAAGTTGTGAAAAACCACACCACACAGGACGAGCCTCTAAACACGTAGAATTGAAACTTTCTGAACACTTCCTCCTTCGCTCACATCCGCTACGCTACCGTTTCCGGTCACATATGAGGTTTCTCTCTCTCTCTCTCTTTTTTTTTTTTTTTTTTTTTTTTTTTACACGGGGTTTTGACAAGGTTAAGGTCCCTAGTTTTATTGACAGCTATATTACAGGTTAAGGATTCCTAACTTTATTGGCAAGCTAAGAGCTGTTACCTACATCACCTCTTTTGAAGCATTTTTATTGTTATGAGACATACAAGTAGGGAACAGGATGAAGTTGGGCCACTGGGGGCCCAGCATTTTCTTTTGATCAGCTGACTTTATCTCGTTGACATCATTATGCTGTACGAATGTGTTCTATACTCGAGTCATCCTGGGTATGTATGATCTCAGATGGAGTGATGTTCTGGAGAAGGGTACAGCCAGGAGTGAAGTTGCTGCTTTCTGCCCCTTTGTGCATAAAACTTGTTTCACGCTGTCCCGAAGTGGGTCCAGTGTTTGGGACTTTGACAATATTGGCCTTGTACATAACAGTAAGTCTCTCTCTCTCTCTCTCTCTCTCTCTCTCTCTCTCTCTCTCTCTCTCTCTCTCTCTCTCTCTCTCTCTCTCTCTCTCTCTCTCTCTCTCTCTCCACCTACACACACACACACACATAGCTGGAAGTTGAAAACTCAGATGAATTATAGGGATGTTAGGAGGTATTTCTTCAGCCTTAGAGTTATAAGGAAGTGGAACAATATGGAGAGTGAAGTAGTGGAGGCAGGATCAATGCATAGCTTTAAAATAAGGTACGATAAGGCTCTTGGAGTCGGGAGAAAGTAAACCTAATAGCGACTAGCGAAGAGGCAAGGCCAGGAGCTGTGCCTCGACCCCCGCAACCACATATTTGGGTGAGTCAACACACACACAGTCACGTTCTCAGTGTGCGTCCTCCCTTAATTCGGACACTCACTTCCTGGACATAGGGAAGTGATAGCCAGGTGTGGCCAGAGCTTACCCCCTGGGTGAGAGAGAGAGGAGAGAGAGGGAGAGGGGAGAGAGAAGAGAGAGGGGGAGGAGAGAGAGAGAGAGAGGAGAGGGGAGAGAGAGAGAGCGAGAAGAGATGGAGGGGAGAGAGAGGGGAGAGGAGAGAGAGAGAGAATCTTTTATCTCAAAATTCCATCTTGGCGAGCTGGACTTGAGGTATACAATTTCTCATTGTTTCAATTAAAGAAAAAAAACTTTTTTTTACCCTTACTGTGTAAATAAAAAGAGTCGCCATGTTTCTTCCCGTATCTAAAATTGGCTCTGGGGCCTCGTGTTAGTCGTGGCTCTCACATCTAAATTGAATTTTTTCGCATCCGCTGAATCTGTTTGAATCCGTCGGTGTTGGTGTGAGTGCAAGCGAAGCCAAGACGAGTCGGGAGCATCAGTTGTGCGATCAACTTGCTGTGATAATAGCAATTGGGATTGACAGTGTGGAGAGTTTGGCGGTGATGGAAGTGGTGGGGGTTGTAGTAGTAGTGACAACACTGTTGGTGGTGATGGTGCTAATAGTGCTGCTGGTGGCAGCTGTATGTATGCTGTATGGTGGCTAATGTTTTAGATTCAATATTTGTCGGGACAAAGAACGTCCAGAGAAGTTTTCTGCTCGTATAAATTCGGTCAGGTATCTAACCTACTGGGAACGTTTAAAATCCCTTGAACTGTAATGTAATCCTTGGAACGTAGGCGAGAAAAATCCATTATAATCTCCACCTGAAAAATTCTGGAGGGATCGGTCCGAAACTTGCACACTTAAATCATTCCGTATGAAGACAAGAGGCTCGGCAGACAGTGCATAACATCTCTAATGAACAGCAGGGGCGCGATAAGTAACTCAGTGAGTGTAAAGGGACCAAGGCTCTTCAGCGCCCTTCCTTCGTACATAAGAAGAACTACAAACACATTTCTGACTGTTTTCAAGAGGAAACTTAAGTTCTTCAAGTCAGTTCCAGATCATCCCAGTTGTGGTACGTACGTGACTCGTGTGGTGATACCAAAAGCTGTCGATTAGGCCACAACCGGAAGACTGGTCCGGAACAGGCAGCATTGAGGTGGTGACTCCCTAGAGCAGCTACAGATAACCTGCAGGTAACATCAGAATATAACGAGTACATCATATGACACAATCTTGGAATTCTGAATGCATTTCACGTTGTCACTTGTTAATTAATATCTGGCGTGTTGCAACGTTACTTGCAGGTGAGGTGTGGTAACTACGTCAACACCTTGTCTTCTATTTGTCTTGGTGGTCCTTGCAAAGGTGCGGGTCAACACAGCTTGTTTGTAAAGGTATTTGGATGCTTGCCCGTCACTGTCTCCCGTCAAGTCTTCCCCTCTGGTTGTTCCACTGTCTCCAGACTGACAGTAACCAGTCACTGGTTTATGACTGGTTACCTGGAGGTTATTCCGGTGATCAACGCCCCCGCGGCCCGGTCCATGACCAGGCCTCCCGATGGATCAGGGCCTGATCAACTAGGCTGTTACTGCTGGCCGCACGCAGTCCGACGTACGAGCCACAGCCCGGCTGATCCGGCACTGACTTTAGGTATCTGTCCAGCTCTCTCTTGAAGGCAGCCAGGGGTTTATTGGCAATTCCCCTAATGCTTGATGGGAGGCTGTTGAACAGTTTTGGGCCCCGGACACTTATGGTGTTTTCTCTTAGTGTACCAATGGTGGTGGTGACACTCTCAGCTTTCCTCATGTATTGTAGAAGCATATAGGAGAACAGTGCCACCACACTTCAGCACGCCAGGATTCTAGGTGACGCTGCTAGTAAGAGGTCACCTTCTATTGACCTCACCATCTCACGCGAGGTCAGTCAAAACCGCATCATCTCTCGTACACCTAGTGATGGATGACCCACTACATCTCTAGTAGACACGAGGGTAAACGACCCTCTAACATTCATACCCACCTAAACCGCATACCCACCTTAACCACATATCCACTGTAACCACATACCCACCTCCACAATAAAACTTTGATCATATGATCAGTGAAATGTCAGTATGACAA